GCAGAATTTGTCAATTTGATTCACAGAATTTGTATTTTAGCACGGATGAAATTGACCAATTATCACCGCAGAAATCGGTGGCCCTGTGATGTATGATTGAGTGAAGTGGTGTATATTACAAAATCACATTTGAGTATATAAAACTAGCATACTATACTCTTAATATAGTTGCAAATAATTTAATTATGTGGCCTCACAAAAATCCTGCAAAAGGTTATTTATGGTTATAATAAAAATATAACAAATACTTTATCACATAATAAAAAAAAAGATTCTAAAATCAAGATTTTACATGAATGTACATGATTGTGCATACTGCTGGTATTGTTTTTTACAGGATTGTAAAACAAAAATCAAAAGTTGTATGTACGTACGTTCATTGAATATTTTTTATAATACATATATTTAACGTTAACAAATTAATTTGCTTTATTCAATTAATTGGTTTTTTTTTCTATATACAGTATATTAAGAAAATCTTTGAACGATATCACGTGTAAATTTTTGATCAGCATAACTTTTTTATTTTTGGTTAGTTTTATGTTAAACAAAATAGTATTTATTGATTATCAGACTGATCTCTTTTTTTTTAGAATGCGTTTAAGGTTTTTGCCTTTTTTTTTTTTTGAATAATCGATTAAAATGGGAACCCATCAAGATATGTATGCAAAGTCTGTTCAACAACTTTGGAACAGAGAAATACGAAGTGCAAATGAAATTCATAAGTGAACTGGTGTACCAAGATCCACTATCTATTATAATATTTTTAAACTAAAAAAAAAAGGAAATGTAGAGCATCATAAGCGCAGTGATCGCCCCTAAAAAATCTCTCCGCAAGTCTTCCGGTTCCTAGTCCAGCAAATAAAAAAGGACCCCTCAATATCTTTGAGGTCTTTGTCTGTAAGTCTGCTCAAAATAAAGGCCCAGGTCTCCCATGTAGTTATCCTGAACCATTTGACCCAGCTTGGGTATAAAAAAGATCGAGCTTATGCGACACCAATGCTTACAGAAAAGCATATCCAGCAGCGTATTAATTGGGTGAAAAAATACCTTAATCATAATTGGGACCAGACTGTATTTAGTGATGAAACAGCTTTTTCACTGTTCAGGGATACTGTAGAGTATTGGTATAAAGATAAACAACCTATACGCAAAATTCCAAAAGAAAAAAAAAAATTTTTAGCGTGGGGTGCATTTTGGTCTAAGAGTCAAACTAGTCTTTACTGCTTTAGAAGAATCATGGATGCTCCGTTTTATGTTAATATTTTGGAAAACCACTTCCCCGAGATTAGAAGTGCACTTGGAAGTCGTTGGGAGTTCCAACAGGACAACGACCCAAGCACACAAGTCGACTTGCTAAGAGTTTTTTTGGCAAAAAATGCCTGAGAGTGATTGATTGGCCTTCCAATAACCCTGACTTGAACCCGATCAAAAATTTATGAAGTGTTGTAAAGAATAATGTTGAGAAATGGTGGCCAAAAAATCTGGATGAATTGGAAAGGTTTATGACCGAAGAATGGAAAAAAATCCTATATGATGTCTTAAGAAATTTGGCGAGATCCATGAGATATCGTTGTCAGTATGTACTTGATAATAATGGGGATCATGTTCCTTATTAAAATTTTAATAAATAAAATCTTTCGCTTTTTGGCTTTTTAATAAGCTATTGATCACGTGATTTGGC